AAGGAGGCTCAGGGGGACCTTGTGGGGGGGGGAGCTCCTGACAGGAGGGGACAGCCAGGGGGATTTGGGATCTGCTCCAGGGAACAGGGACAGGACAAGGAGAAATGACCTCAGAATGCCTCAGGGGAGGTTTGAATTGAGTATTATGGAAACTTTGTCCATGGAAACGGTGTTCAGTCATTGGGAAAAGCTGCCCAAGGAGGTGTGGAGTCCCCATCCCTTGAGATGTTCAAGGAATGACTGGAAATGACACCCAGTGCTCTGGTGTGTTGACAGTCACAGGAGTCACTGAGTCGATGATCTTGTAGGTCTTTTCTAAGCTAGATTCTGCGATTCCATGATCCTACGCCAAGCCGCTCTCCCACCGCGCTCCGCGAGGCGCGGTCGCACTGCCTCCCACGCCTCGGGTGAACTCCCGCTCTCCGCCCCATCCCCTCGCCGCCCCCCTCACGGAATGGCGGCGGCGCGCGGCCGGCAGGGGGCGCTGCGGGCGCGGCCATGGCGGCTGCGCGGCGCCGCTGAGGCGCCCGGCAGCCCCCGCGCCGCCCCGCCGCCATGGCCTTCACGTTCGCCGCCTTCTGCTACATGCTGGCGCTGCTGCTCACGGCCGCCCTCATCTTCTTCGCCATCTGGCATGTGAGTACGGGCACCGTGGAGCGGGGGGACCGCCCGGGGAACGGCCCCGGAGAGCCGCCGGGGCGTCCCCGGACTGCGCTGAGGGAGCGGGGAAACCGCGTCCGGAACCGCCCTAGGAGCGGGAATCGGCCCCTCCCGGATAAAATGGGTTTTATACAGGCACAGAGTGGCAGGACAAGGGGCTGTGGCTTCCCGCTGACAGAAGGCAGCGTTGGATGCGATATTGGGAGGGAATTCTTTGTGAGGGTGGTGAAGCCCTGGCACAGGTGCCCAGAGCAGATGTGGCTGCCCCTGGATCCCTGGCAGTGCCCAAGGCCAGGCTGGATGGGCTTGGAGCAACCTGGGATGGTGGAAAATATCCCTGCCATGGCAGGGTTTGGAATTGGATAATCTTTCAGGTCCTTTCCAACCGAAGCCATTCCATGATTTGTGGTTTGCTCCTCGAGCCTGGCACTGGGGGAGCAGCAGCAGGACCCTGCAGATGAGGTGCTCTGAGGGAGGATGTGATGCTTGGCAGAACACTTGTGGTGTAAAAGTGCCTTTTGTACCTCATGCTGCATCGTTATGTCAAAAAAAAAGACCAGTGTATTTTTAAATGGATGCACCTTTTGCAGGTATAACCTGCTCTGTGTGATCCTGCTTTGGCAGGAAAGTTGGACTGGATGGTCTCCAGAGGTCCCTTCCAGTCCTAAGAGTTTTGTAATTCTGGGATGTATGTGGGCTCAGCATTTACTTTGACAATGAGGAAGAATATCCTTTGGCTTTTAAGCTTGCTCTTGCTTTTTCTGTATTAAACCCCATGCCAGATTCCTGTTGGTCACCAAGAGTATCCTGGGTGAGGCTGGGGTCTGCACAGCGAGTGGGGTTGAAAACTGATAAAGGGGAGGTAGGAAATTCATTGCAGGTGGGAAGATAAAAAATTAGAGAGTAGTCAGAGGCTTTTGAATAGCTGATGAAACTACTGCTTTCGTATTTGTAAAACCTGTTCCACATCTGTCTTACCTGTGAGTTGATGTAGGCAGAACTTAGGTGAAATGTTACTGAGAGCAAAGGTAGCAGCTTTGTGCCAAAATGCTACTTTTAATGGATAAAATACACAATTGCTCCTGGGGAATCAAAACTTTCATTTTTTTTTCCTTTAGATTATAGCATTTGATGAACTGAAGACTGATTACAAGAACCCCATAGACCAGTGTAATACACTCAATCCTGTAAGTAGCACACCAAACGTTTTGTTTTGCTAAATAAATACATGTAAAGTGCTTATTTTTGGTGTTATCTTGATGCAATCAGCCTGGGCAATAGAATTGCATCTGGGTTGAGAAGCCCTCGCTGTTGGTAGAAGTTCTAGGGAAATTCTTTGTATGATTCTTTAGTTTCAAGTTGAATATTCTGACTGTTATTAATCTGATGGTGATCTTGTCAGCTGTCATACTAACATTCTTTCAATCTGCTTTCCACATTTTCGGCACAAAGACAGTTGAAAAGGTCAAAAAGATTAAAAGAGTCAAAATTGCATTAAAGGTGTGTACTGCTTTTCAGTTTCATGTTTTTTAACTTCCCTTTCATTTTGTTAGGAACATTTGTAATACTCTTTAGCTGTTTTGTTTAGTCTGCCTGTTCATCTGCTCGTTATTTGTTTGTTGGGGTTTATAACAACCTCATGGATTTCCATATTTTATGCCAAACCAATTCTGCTTGCTTACCCAGCAACTTGGGGAAAACTGTTACATGCCTGTTAGGTGTCAGAAAAGAACTTTAGGCAGAAATAAATTGTGTTTTTCAAGTCAGATTTACTCAGTTCAGATTAGAGGAGAATACTTTGGGGTTTTTTTAAGCATTGACCAAGTCAGTTCTGATCTTTTTTTGAGGATTTGGGTGAGTGGAAGGTGATAGGTGCTATCCTCACTTCTCTGTTCTGTGTTCCAGGATCAGGGGTGTGTCCCAGTGTCCTCTCTTGGATGCAGCTCAGACACTCCTTGGCTTAGGAAAAGAATTTGAGGCAAACTTTTTGGCTGCATCTCTGACAGGCCAGCAGCATCAGGGAGGCTTGTTAAAGAACACAGAGGTTGACCCTGCAGCATTTTATGCCTTTCTTATGGCTTTTCCTTTGTGTGTGCCCAGGCTGAGGGAAGATGCAGGGGCAGCACAGCAGTGTGGCCTGAACTGTAGCTTTAGTTTGAAGTAAAATATGCCACCAAAAAATAAATTTGCTGTAATTGGGGGGCTGGGGGAGAGTGTGTTACGTGTGCAGCGGACAAATGAAAGTGAATATTTCAGTGTGAGGAGGGGAGGAGGAGAGGAGGTTTGCTGCTAGGAGAGCTGTGCATCTAACAGTTTCCCTTGCTTGGTCTGTTCCAGTCATCTCTGCTGCAGTGTGGGAGAGGCCAGCTCTCATTACATTGATGCATTATGACCTTACTGCAACCTTTGTAGTGTAAAAATGTGCATGTTTAACTGAATATTAACCTTCTGCTGCCCCACGTGCATGGAGTGTCCTTTACATGGCAGCTTTGCAACTGAAAGTCTGAAATAACCTCATTTTTGCTGTTCCTGTGGAAGCAGGCTAATCCCCAAAAGTGAAGTTCAGGCTCTTGAGGGGATCTGGTACATGATGCTGGACAAACACATGGGTGTGTTGTTTTCCTGTACAAAGAACCAAAGATCTTGGTAGGAATTGAGGCACCTCAGTGCAAAGATTAGCCTAAAATAGTAACTCCTTAGTACACTGCTGATTCCTTCTCTTCTCTGCTCCTGTTATAGTCGTGTCTTTTCTCAGCAACCAGATCCATCCTCCCTCACTTCTGTGATAAATATGGTAGGATCTGATGTAATTCATTTTTCTTTAGGACAGGCAGGGAGGATCAAGTGGGGGAGACTGGAAAGATGCAGGGATCCTGATGTGGGAGTAGGGTATAATAAACAAGAGAAAAGAAAAACATATTTTGAGATGTGTAGGTAAATAAATACAGATTTTTTCAGGCCCAGTGTATCTGTCTGAGCAGGCTGCCAAATGCATTGTGTGTTGGGCAGGGTGGTTGTTGTTCTGCTATAAATAATTGCCATGTGTAAATGGTAAGTATGCAGAGAAGGATCTGGATGAAAATATTTACTTGAAACATTTTGTGTACAACAGCTGAATTTTGGTGGTGTTATTGCAAGTTTGCAATATTCTTCATTTAGAGAATTAGAATTTCATAGCAAAGTAGGCAGTGAGTGTGTTTGTTGGTAGCTTTTTGATTTCTAGGAAGATATTCTTAGGTTCTAAAAGAAGAAAAAAATTGGAAACCACTGAAACTTTGATGTAATCATCCCATGCGATTTAATCATATTGCACAAAAAGAGGGCAGAGTGTGTTGTGTGTGTACCTGCACATATGTAGGCAATTTAAACCTTTTGGGTAAAAATGGGGTGTTTTCCATGAGGAGAAGTTCTATGGGGCCTGAGTTAAGAAGGCAACAGTTTTACAGATCTTCTGCTTCTGCTCTGGAGCCAGGCTGGGAGAGCTGGGGGTGTTCACCTGGAGAGGAGAAGCTCCAGGGAGAGCTCAGAGCCCCTGGCAGGGCCTGGAGGGGCTCCAGGAGAGCTGGAGAGGGACTGGGGACAAGGGATGGAGGGACAGGACACAGGGAATGGCTCCCACTGCCAGAGGGCAGGGATGGATGGGAGACTGGGAAGGAATTCTTCATATGAGGGTGCTGAGGCCCTGGCACAGGGTGCCCAGAGAAGCTGTGGCTACCCCTGGATCCCTGGAAGTGTCCAAGGCCAGGTTGGACAGGGCTTGGAGCAGCCTGGAATAGTGGAAGGTGTGGAACTGGATGGGTTTTCAGGTCCCTCCCAACCCAAACCAGTCTGATTTGTGCGATTCCTGTGAACCTGGTAATAAAGCAGTAAATAGCAACACTTTGGGGTGACTTATGAAATTTAATTCGTGTGTTGGGTGTGAGATTTCACAGCTCTTTGCATGTGTTTACTCTCTGTTCCTCTCCATGTTGTTCCTATTAACAGCACTAATCTCCGCAGCATTCCATGCTTCCTGTGATTCCATAGTACCTGGTACTGAGCTCTGTGGGCTTCTGCTGGAAGCATGATGCTGTAAAGCATGCACAGTGGGAACCTGTGAGGGAGAACTGCCCGATTCCCCCCAGACTGTGCAGAGCAGCTCCTCTGTGCAGACCTGTGTGTGCCACCACGTCACCGCTGGTTTGGTTGGGTAAAGCTCTGCCTGGGGCGTTACATTTTGGGAATAATTTGACTTTGAAAAGTTCTGGATCTGTGAAGACCATAACAAAGCTGTAAAACGGGAAACCACAAACATCTTTTTGCCTATAAACTGTTCTGCAGAGCACGTTTCCTACTGATATTTCTATGTTGCATGAGCAGAAATATCTCAGTGACTTCTTCTGAGTGTCATGCATAAAGCATAGAATCTGTTAATTTAATAGAAGTAATTAAAAAATACTGACCTGACCATTAAATCTTAGAAATTTTTCTCCTTGGTTCATGAATAGCATGTGAAAACAGCAAGGCACATAGTGCTGGCTGCTGCTTTCATGTTCCAAAGTCTTGTTCTTGTTAGTGTTGGTTTTCAATAATATTTTTAAGCAATCGCGTGCCTCCAAAGTAGCTGAAATGCCACGTTTTGCTCTGTGCAGTTGAAATTTCTAACTCGCCTTTTTCTTTTCCAGCTTGTACTTCCAGAGTACCTCATCCATGCATTCTTCTGTGTCATGTTTCTCTGTGCAGCAGAGTGGCTCACACTGGGTCTCAATATGCCCTTGTTGGCTTATCATATTTGGAGGTAATTTTGGCAAGTCTGTTATGCTCGGTGAATTGTTACTCATTCTCCTGTTGCTGTATTCCTGTCCAGTGTTCTGTGCTTTGGAAGCACACAGATGCTTTCTGGGAAGGTTCAGGTCATGGCTGTACAATAAGAACCAACACCTGGCTTTCTTGGGGTTTTTTTAATTCTCTTGTGCTGTGTGAGAATTGAGTTGTGTGTGTTAAAGTCACTGACATGTCACAGGTGCACTGAGACAATTCCCAGTGTGGAATGCCAGTCGAAGCAGCAGTTCCAGTCTCCTCTCCCATTCCTTAAGACATGGGAATTGAATTGCTTCTCTGTCAAGGGTGTTACTCCTTGTCTCAGCTGTGGCAGTCCCTGGTGGGTGGGGGCAGGACTCTGGTTTCCTGTGGCTGTCACCCCACACCTGCCTGTGCCTCCTTCCAGGTACATGAGCAGACCCGTGATGAGCGGCCCGGGGCTCTACGATCCTACGACCATCATGAATGCAGATATTTTAGCCTATTGCCAGAAAGAAGGATGGTGCAAATTAGCATTCTACCTTCTATCTTTTTTTTACTACCTATATGGGTAAGTTTTCCTCTTCAGTCTGAAGCTTTGGCTCAGTGCAGAGAGAAATGCTGTCCATAGGAATATTGTTCTTCTCGTGCTGGAAGGGAGCCTGTGGGAGCTGGACAGGGACTTTGGACAAGGGTGTGTAGTGACAGGACATGTGGGAATGCCACTGCCAGAGGGCAGGATTAGATGGGATATTGGGAAGGAATTGTTGGCTGTGAGGGTGGGCAGGCCCTGGCACAGGGTGCCCAGAGCAGCTGTGGCTGCCCCTGGATCCCTGGAAGTGTCCAAGGCCAGGTTGGATGGGGCTTGGAGCAGCCTGGCATAGCCAAAGGTCTCCCAGCCTATTGCAGGGGTTGGAGTGAGGTGATCTGTAAAGTCCTTCCAACTCAAAACATGCTGGGAATCTGTATGATCACCTACTGTGCCAGCTTTCCTGAAAAAGAATCCACATTCACCCCTGATTCTGCTTTAAAACACAAATCCTCATTTGGTCAGAATTTTTGGGTCTCTGTTCATGACTGTAGACCGAAAGCTCCAAACTTCCATTAAGCATAACACAATAAATCCCAGGGTGTTTTAATTAAGAAGCGGAAACATTGTTTTCAGAGGAAAGTATTTCATGTAAATGTGGTTTTGTTGAAGTCAAAAGTAGAAGAGTCATTGTGTCAAATCTTGAGTCACGATCCACCTATCTCACATGGACTTGTTCTTTATAGTAGACCCTGTTATAATTAAATGTGTAACACTAATCAAAACGATGCATCTTAATATTTTTATTTTCTTCTGCAGCATGATTTATGTTCTGGTGAGCTCTTAAGAAGACATTCAGCAAGCTTTGTTCCAGTTAAGTGCATGCAACAGCCACAAAAAACATGGATTCTTTACAACAAGAACCTCTGACCAAGATTAAATCTGGAACCCGATGTTCAAAATTGAGTTAGAAAACAATGACTCCCCTATTTTTTAAATATTTCCACATTTTATAATTGTGGAAAGACTGTTTTCTTATATTTTACTGGGACGCTGAAATTAATGAATTATGTGTAAATTAATATAAAGATGACTGGGGTTTGAAAAGTTTTGACTTTGCACTCCATAAGGAACAGCCATAACCTTCAAGTAGGTGTTGGTTACTACTAGCCTTAGTACTCTAGGGATTTGCTGTAGGATGGGCTTTGTAGTGGCTCACTTGGACTTGTGTATCCCACTCTTTACTCTAAACCAGCCCTAGCTCCAAGTGCTTGGGAACAACTGGAATACTGTATGTTTTGCCCATAGGCAACATGGGTCTTAGGATATTAATTCATGGACACAAAAGCAAAAATAGTTCTGTTTTGGTTTATTTTTTTATTATCTGGTTAATCTTCCCCTGTGTGTGCATCCATAAGTCCACAGAGCCCTCTGTATCTTCTCCAAACATTAACCCTGCTTTAATCTCGAGTCTGTGCCATTGCGGTAGGAGAAGCTGAATTGTCCATGAAGGAATGAATTTAAATGGTTTTTTTGGGTTTTGTTTTTTTTAATGTCTGTGCTGTCTGATTAACAAATGGACAAACCTCCAATGTTTATCAAGTCCAATGATGAAAACACTCTTGGATTTAAGAGTAGTAAATACTACAGACTTTTCAAAGCAGAAGGTGAGATTGTGAAACTGCCCTGCTGTTCCTTAGTGCAATAAATGATAATAAAAAACAAATCTCAAATTCAGCAACACTTCTTTTTATGTGGTGCCTTTTGTTTTGTTTATAAATTCAACAGATCCTCACTGTTGTTTTATAGTGGATTATTGCATTCCCTTTAAAAATAGAAGACAGAATTGAATTACCTCTGGAAAAGGGAAGTTCTGAATTCCTGCTTTTTTCCCTTTAGTTAAATAGCAGATGGGGCAGGGGAAGATGTTGCAGATAAATATTGCATTGTAAATTGTGACTGTGAACAGCTGCTTAATTTACAAGTAATAATTAGAGATCTTTTTCATTTACCTGTGCTGGAGAACAATGCAGTTTCCCCGTTCTAGTAAATTTTTTTTTTTGCATAAACTGTGTATTTGTTCACTTTGGGACTCTTGGGTGTAAGGGGCAGTATAAATTGCATGAATGGCTGCACTGGGTTCCACCAGAAATCCAGATGTTCCAACACTGGTCTGTTGGGCAGTGGCTGAGGAAAGGAATATGAAACAGGCAGGCGTGGAGTATCTGCCTGAAGAGTGAGAAATTTGGAAATCTGTGTTACAGATGTCCTGAGTGGGCTTTGGCATTTCAAAAAGCTCTGAATGGCTTTTCTGCCATCAGTTCAGCTGCTTTTAGAGCACTTTTGTAGCCTGGTCTAGAACATCACAGAATCCCAGAGCAGTTTGTGTTGGAAGGGACATTTCATTAAATCCCATTTCATTCCAACTCCTGCCATGGCAGGGACCCCTTCCTCTATCCCAGGCTGCTCCAACCTGGCCTTGGACACTGCAGGGTTGGAGCAGCCACAGCTGCTCTGGGCAATCCTGACATTGAGTTCTGCAGTGGAATTGCTTGTGTAAAAACCAGGTATTTAACAGTTCTGCCGACTTCACTTAATGACTCTGTGCTCTTATTTTTTTGGACATGGTGAAAATGTCCCCCTTTCCACCTTGTTTGTGCTGGGTGTGAATGAACATACTTTGCTCATCTGCCACAAGGCAGTCCTTCTACAGGTTTGGGACTGTCCTTTCTCCTCCACAACCTTCCCCTTTTCTAGGCTATCATCACACAAAGATTGGGTTCCATGGGGATGGAGAGTTGTAGTTTCTAGTTGTTATAAATATACTGGGGGTAAGAGAATTCAGGCTGTGATAACTTCAAATTCTCTTTCTTAATAATAGTCCTGGCAGCTTATTCCTTTGTACATAAAATTGTTTTTCTTGTGTTTCCTTGCATTGATTGAGCATTTCCCATGCCCCTACTGCTCAAGCCTTCAGCATTCCATGATTTTTTTTTACTCGTTCAACCATAATTTTTAGCTTTTCACAGAAGAATTTTTGAGAGGCTTTTTTGGAAACTCATTAATATTGTTCCTATTGGATCATTTTTACTTTTCTGCTGCTTGGCTCTTCCAAACATGTAAGAGATTACTTCAGCCTGTGGAAGCAAAGCTCATTAAACCTTTCTTATGTTTGTATGTTTATTAATGCATTATGGAAACAAGACTGGCTGCTTGTAGCCCCTGGCTCTCCTCAACCTTTTAAACAAATCTCTTGTTCCCTTGGCATTTGGGCTGGTTTGAGCCAAATTCCACACTGGAATAAACAATGCAGGCTGCTCCTGCAGCCCCTGCAGCTGCAAGGGCCCAGCAATATTTACCAAAGTGTCTGCACTGTCCTGCTGATGAGCAGCTTTAGCTGGATGTGGGGTGCAGATGAGCATTCCCAGCTGTTCCATGTCCAGCAACATCAGCCTCGTGTCCCAGGAGTGTTGGCGTAGCCCTTGTGGGATTCCCTGCTGGAGTACCAGGCCTTTGGCATTCAAAATGTGGACCTGATCATTGGTTTTGGAGTTCTAGGAGGCAAAAGATTATGGAGAAGATAAAGAACATTTCTCTTGCTCTCAGCAAGCTTCCTGCTGAGTTATGTGATAAATATTTAATATCTGGAAAACATTAGTTGCAAGGACTAAGTACTGAAGCACATTTGGGGCAGGGCATTTGCTGTAAATTCTGCGCTGTGGGAACTGGAAAAGTTCCTGTTGTTTGCCATGAGTGGGGATGGGAATGGCAGTAAACACTAATTAATCTGCAGAAATCACCTTTGTGCTCAAAGTTTAATTAAAGATAAATTCTGAAGTTCGCAAAGCAGGCACTTGCTCAACTCAAGCCCCCTGGTGTTGTGTGGAGTCTTGTCCCAACTTTTGACTTGAGATGGTCCTGAACTTTAGCAAAATCCTGAACTTTAGCAAAAGCCAGGAGCTGTTTCATCTTGCTTTGAATGGAAATAGTGAAGCAGGAGGGCTGGGGACTGCTAGAGGACTGTTCTGTGAGATCCTCCCAGCCCACAGCTGATTGTTTGTTTACTCTCAGCAGTGGCAGCAGCCAGAAGGGCTGTGCCAGCTCACCCACGCAGCTGACACAGTCACCTACAACCCCCCTGCTGGGTTTGTCACAGATTTGTGGTGTCACAACACCTCCTGCTTTTGGAATGAGGAAACTCCTTCCCAAATACCCCTCAACACATCGAGCAGAACTGTGACATTTCAGAATGAGTTGTTACGAGCACCTAAGGGGTGAGTGCTCCAGCTTGACTTGACTTTGCTTTACAGCAGAGCTGATGGCATGAGGGTGTTTTTAAACGGCTCCAGAGATGGAATTTCTATCCAGCTCCCTTATCCCGGCAGAACAGCAATGGACACAAACACACTTGTACATGTATTTTTCAGGCAGTGAGTATTAAAGTCACCAAAGAGGTGACTTTGTTCCTATCCATGTTCTCTAGGATTTCCTTCCCCATCCCAATACTTTACACATAGATTTGGAAGGCAGCAGCTGAGTCACACAGGCAGTAGCACTGAGGAAAGGTCAGGAGGGGGGTGTCTTGTCCAGTTTTCCACACAGGCACAGATGGGATCAGCTACCGCGATGCCGATCTCAGCACCGGGTCCTTTGTTGCCAGGTGTGCAGCCAGGTTCTCCCGGAAGTCATGGAGGAAATTGTACTGCTGGAAATGCACAACCAGTCTGCAGTGAGTGCTCTGTGCTTCAAGAAGAGGCACCACCTGTGCTAAAAAGCTGTTTGATACCCCTGCATGAAAACCGCACCCTCTGGTTCATTTGTTCTTTGTGTGCTTACTCCACACCTCTGGGATTTTTCAGTCAGACAAATGCCATGGATCTTGCCTTGGATCCTGTGGTTCCCCAAAATGGCCACAGGGGATGCATTACCTCAGGGTAACACAAAACATGGTCCTCAGAAGTGGGAGTTGTCAGAATTCAAAGCTGCTTTATTTTGAATCATGGAATCATTTAGGTTGGAAAATCTCTCTAAGATCTTTGAGTCCAACCATTCCTCCAGCACTCTAAGGCCAGCACTACCCCAGTCCCTACGTGCATCCACATGGCTTTTAAATCCCTCCAGGGATGGGGACTCCACCACTGCCATGGGCAGCTGTGCCAGGGCTAGACAACCCTTTCAGTGAAGAAATTTTCCCTATTATCCACTTAAACCTTTTCTGGCACAGCTTAAGGCATTTTCCTCTTGTCCAGTCACCAGTTTCCTGGCAGAAGCTGTTTCCTGAAAGCAGGAAACAGCTCAAACCCCAGAGAGAGCTATTGGAAGGGCAGAGCTATCTCTGGGATAGTGAAGTGAAGGAAGAGAGTGGCTGAACTCTCACTGGGGTTTGGACCTGTGTATTACCTGCCGCAGCCCCATTACCTTGATGGTCTGTATGGCCCCTGATCCTCTCAGGTTCCTGAGGCTCTCTATCACCTGCTGAGGTGCCAGGGTGTCTGAAAGCTGGAGCAGGAGACATGCAGCCACTGCAAGGGAAAGGGTTTACACCTGAGTACTGCTGAGCACCTCTGACTGCACACAGCCACTGATTTGTCCCATGAAAACCACCTTGGCAAACCTATCCAGGTCCCAGAGCTTTTGGATCTCCTGCAGAATCCTATTTCTGGCACTGCTCCATCTGCCTGCTGCTCCTGCCTGAGCCTATGGGCTTTGGAAATAGGTGAAAACCATCCCACTATTTTCCCCCTGCCTTCCCAGCAGCATCTGGGATACAATTCTTAGGCTTTTCAGGAATGAGTGCCAGTACACCCCGTTAATTCTCCTTTGTGTCTTCTGGCCATATCACCACCTGATCCTTCTGGGAACACACAGTAACTAACACTCCTGAAAGCTTTAAGGGGCAACACTGGGATGAATCAGATGCAGAGGAATTGGTTAATGTCCTTTCTATTAACCAGGCTGCTCCTGGTAGTGGCAGTTTGGATTGCATCCACAGTGAAGCTTCCAGCAGAATTTGGGTTTGTGGGATGGGTTAGTCAGGTGTGGAGACAAATGCTTACCAAGACATGAGCGTCCAAGGCCACCATAACAGCTGGGAGAAAAGAAAACATCTGGTTGAAACAAGCTGTAGCAAACTGCAGCACCCAGGGACCCCCTGAACACAAAAATATATGGACACAGTTCTTACCTTAATATAATCAAGAGGAGCAGGTGCAAAAGTCAGAATAAGAATTTCTACATATTTTCTATATTCTATTCCTATACCTACAGGGATATATCCTATTTAGTCTCCAGATCTTCTCTATCTCTCCATGGAAACTTCAATTTTAAAGTTCCCCTTCATTCCTGCTAATAGTCCCAAAGGCACAGGAGGACAGGAAACAGTAGGAGGATGGACAATCTCAAATGTCTTTAAATCCTACTTCAGATTAATGGTTTGAGGACAGTTGTGAGGAGAACAGCAAGGGTTCTGTGTCAGCAGGAAGACCAAGGACTCAGTGGCTTTCTGTACAAGAAGCTGTCAGTGGGATCATTCAGGGGACAGAGAATTTGGTAAACTCTTCCCCTCTCTCCTGAGGTCAGCTAAATAAGTTCCTTTAAACCCATTCATGGAAATTAGGAGTGAATTTTGCACCGCTGGAACCCACTGAGTCCCTGATAAATGGTGCAGGGAAGTGTTACAGAATCATGGAGTGGTTTGGGTTGGAAGGGACCTTAGAGTCACTTCATCCCACCCCCTGCCATGGGCAGGGACACCTTCCACTGGATCAGGGACATCATCCACTGGATCAGGCTGTTCCAAGCCCCATCCCTGGCCTGGAACACTTCAAGGGATGGGCAGTCACAACCTCTGACAAAGAAGTGTTTTAGCTCCCAACTCATTCTATACATCTGATATCCAGGTAGGCTGGGAGGAAGGAGCCCTGTGGTGCCACTCAAAACACCTTAAAATTCTTGCTGGACAGAGCAAGGGGAAATGGGGCACTGTGACATCCTGAAAGGAAGAATTCTCTGCAGATAGCTCCAGGAGGAGGAACAAGCAGAATTCATAGCATGAACTAGCCTTAAAGAGTGCAACTGTCTTTTCACAGCATCCTATTTCCCCTGCTCATACATCTGGAGGGAAGCTGGCATCCTTTACAGGAATGTGGGGTGGTGGGGAGGCAGCCAGAACCTACTGTATCACTGTCTTCTGCTTATTTTCCAGGCAGGTTCTGAGCTCTTCCAGGATCTTGCAGCAGGTGGCAATGTCAGGAGCATTCCCATCAGGAATGGGGTGGTGGTGCACACACATCCCGTGCTGTTGGTAGGTGTCGAGCAGGTTTGGTACTCGGTATTTTGAGAGCTCTCCTCTGGTACAAAGCACAAAGATATCCTGGATCCCACAGCTCTTTAGTTCTCCTGCCAAGGGATTAAGACACTTGCAGATAAACAAAAGCCTATCAAGCTTAAGGATAAACAGATAAGCCCCTTGGTCCTGAGTCTCTTGTTTAATCTTTGGGGCTACGGCAATAGGAGTGAGCAGTTTTGGTTTGAGCATTCTTTCTTCCACTGATTCTCTCCCACATTTCGCTTCAGGTAATCCAGGAGAGGAATTTTCTCTGTTCAGAGGGAATCCCGAGAGAAGTCTCACTGGAGAGCACAGCAGCACTCAGGACAGCCTGTTATCCACTTAAGTATGTTTCTGTTCTAGCTGTAGTTAAAAATCACAGAATCCCAGGGTGGTTAAAGCCCATCTCATTCCACCCCTGCTATGGGCAGGGACACCTTCCACTATCCCAGGCTGCTCCAAGCCCATCCAGCCTGGCCTTGGGCACTGCCAGGAGTTCCTTCCTAAGCTTGACTTACCCAGACACTGTGGGGATTTGCTATTAGTCTCTGCTCTTTAGTGCTTACAGCTGAATACTCAGCACAAATCTTTACGTAATTCCGTATTTTCTATCCCAATTTCACTTTTCTCTGGGAAAAAGGAAGTTTTTAATTCATCTTGATCCCAGCTGCTCTGAAGATGCTTCATGGGTACTGTGCAGCTCTTGCCTGGAAATATCCTGACTATTGATTCCATGGAATATTTATGGAATTGCCCTTGACACAAAGAAGACTCACCTATATCTTTCTGAAGATTTCTTCTGACATCCTTAAACCTGCAACCTGAAACAAGTTATGAACAACAATTACCACTGCAGGTAAGTGACATTTATGGGATGGCTGCTGCAGCAGAAGAACAGAGCCTCCTCCCAAAATCAAAAGCAAGGACCAAAGCCACATCCTGAATAAAACATAGTTCTTGTTTTTGCAAGAAGATCCCTGGTGCATAAGGCAGTTTAAACACCATTATCTGCTTAATACTGTAATGTAATAGGATTAACAAAATAAATCTGCCCAAGGTTTTAAGGTGCTTTGTGTTTTCCAGATGAAAAGTTTTGGATATTCTAAATAAGGATACAGCATAAAATCCCCCCACAAAACACAAAAAATCATCTAACAAATAAAAGGGGTGAATAATGATCACTTAAGAGTTGAGCGGAGATTCACCATGGCTGCAGTTTTGGTAGCTAAAAATGCAGTCAAAGTTTATATGTTTACTTTTATGACTTTACAAAATGTGATCTTGCATTAAGATACTCTCTAGATTAGCTTTGGTGTTTCCAAAATGCTTATTCCAGGAGTAGATTACAAAAGGAGTCACCCACAACACAGAAATTTGGGGTACAAGGTATTACCCCTCTTCAGCTTTCAAATATGCCTGCAAATTTCAGTGAATGCTTCTTACCTGGAAGGGAACATAATCCCAGGAACTCTGAAGAGTAGGGAGGAGACAAAGACAACCTATTAGAAAATAAAAAGTAAAATAAATAAAATTCAGAACGCAAGATTTCAATTATTTAAATATATAAATATATTTTGGGGGGGGTGGGGTGGTCAAGAGGGTGGGGCCAGACCTTTTCACCAGTGTCTGGTGGGATGATGAAGAGCAACAGGCACAAAATGAAACATGGGAAGTGAATATGATGAAAAATGTTTCTTTGAGGGTGACAAAAGGTTTGGGTTGGAGAGGACCTTAAAGATCATCTTCTTCTAATCCTCTGGCATGGGCAGGGACAATTTCCACTACCGCAGGTTGCTCCAAGCCCCGTCCAACCTGACCTTGGGCACTGCCAGGGATGGGGCAGCCACAGCTGCTCTGGGCACCTGTGCCAGGGATCACCACCCTGTGAAGAACAGAGGCATGGATCGGCTGCGCAGGGAGGTCGTGGAGTGTCCTTCCCTGGAAAGATTGAAAACCCAGCTGGATGTGATCCTGGGCTCCTGCTTGGGCAGGGCGGCTGGGCTCGCCGGGCTCCAGAGGCCCCTTCCAACCCCAGCCACATCCACCGGGCCACCCCCAGCCTGGAAGGCCACCAGAGCCCGCCTCGGGGTTCCCTTGCCAAGAGAAAACGCTCTTGTTTCTCAGGAGAGGGATTGAACACAATTCCCTCAGAGAAAGGATCCCGCGGGTGTCGCCTCACCAGGAGATGTGGAGCGGGCTCGGCTCCTCTTCGGCGGCCTCATCGTCTGAGGAGGCAAAGCCGTCGGCTGGCGCCGCAGCGGGCTGGGGGGAGAGCGGGGGGCTCACCGTGGGGCCGGGACCCTCGGCGGTATCGGGATCGATATTGGGATCGGGATCGATATCGCGATCGGGATCCCGAGCCCTCAGCGGTTTCACCATGGCGCCGCTCCCGGCCGCCGCCCGTTCAAACTGGCCACGCCCACCAGCCCATCGCCCAATGGGAAGATGCGGCTCAGGGAGCGCGTGCAAAATCGAGCAGGCTTTCCCCTCCCGTTTCATGAGAGGAGCTCTCTGATTGGTGAGCAGCGAGGACGGCGGGCTTTAATATGCAAATAGATGTGGTGATCTCTGCGCTGATTGGGTGAGGCGGCGAGGCGGGAAGGGGCGGTCTCGAGCGTTGGGGGCGGGGCTCCGTGAGGGCTCCGTGAGGGCGGGGCGGATCCCCTTCCCCCAATTCCATTTGAAATCCCTCTCGGGGGTGTGTTCATAACTGTCCCATTCCTGGTAATCCCGGTAGTTCTTAAAAGTGATAGAGCAAAGGGGAATGAATTCACAAAGATATATGACAGTGTTAGGTGGAATATTGACAAGAAAACTCTCCCTTGTGAGGGTATAGCGAGGCCCTGGCACAGGTTGCCCAGAGAATCTGTGGCTGCCCCATTCCTGGCAATGTTCTAAGATCACCTGGTCTAGTGGAAGGTGCTGATGGCAGAGGGTGGGACTAGATGGGCTTTAAATTCCCTTTTTACCCAAACCATTCCATGATTCCATGATAAAACATAGAGATGGATGTGAGCCTTTGCCCACAGGATGTGGAAGAACAGGGATGATCTTAAGCGGGTGCCTCATGCAGGTTTTGGGTGGTGAATTCTATGGGCAGGGACCGTAGAACATTTTAACAGAAAATTATTTGTTTCTGCTCTTTTAAGCCATGAACTTGAAGTCAGATATTCTTGTCATGGTACTGCTTTAAATCGTCCTATAAAAATAAGTTTTTGAGGCTCTTGCATGGAGTTTTTATCTGAACATAACTAGCATGAAGGATTGCTCCAGGGAGGAAAAAATACTTTTGGCTCCTTCTTTTGAAGAACTGAATGCCCTGTGCTTAGGGCATTCTGGTAGATATTTTTTTTTCAGAATTTCTGGTTTATTCTGTGAGTAACTCTGGCCATTAATCAAGGAGTACATAAATTAACATTGTGGGATTTTGGTTTTTAAAATTGTATTAAGGCATTTCTACAGCCTGTGTTTAGACACGCATAGAGCTATGCTGTGAAAGATCCAGGCACAAATAGTGAATTTTGGCATCCATTTAGAGAGTAATGCCATGGAGACCTCCAAAGGTGTTCCAAGTCAAAGGAATGGCTGGGCACAAGTGGTTTGAGCTTGGCAGGAATCCCAGCAGGACCAGTGCAAGATCTCCAGGTGTGGAGATTTTAAATTTTAGTCCTACATTAGTAACTTTAGTTCCACAGCTGGAAGTTTTATTGAAATCTGCCTGAGAAGGATTGTAGGAGCAAATTGCTTGAAATGGCAGGATTTAGGATGGGTTCAGGGAATGAAGAAACAGATGATGGGAAGATCAAGGAGAAGGCAAGTTTATTAAAACTCAGAATATGATAGCAGAGGTACAAAAATTACATTACTGAGTATAATGGGGAATTAAAACAATTCAGATGTTGCAGACTATGATGAACTATGGGAAGAAATACATCCTAAGGATTGAGGCAACGTGAGGACAGCCAGCCACTGTAGCTGCAAATATGATTTTAATAACTCAGGAAAGGCACAAAGGAGCAGGTATGTTGTTTTTGTTTTCCACTGTGGTCCCATTAGATATTATGTGCAACACTTGTACTCTGATCAAAATGTGAAATTTGCTGTATTTCCCCCCCCCATTATTGATTTTTGCCTATTCAGAAGAAAGTTATTGCAGATTTGAACTCTGGGGGTTACAGCTTTATGGAAGCAGCAGTGTGAGGCTGATAAATAAATATGAAAAGAGCAACAATGGTAATGCTCCTGGTCATTCTTTGAAAAGATCAAAAGAATTCTCAGGAATTTGGGTGCCTTCATGTAGTGGAAATCCTAATTGGGATCTAAAATGCTGATAATGGCTGTGGCAGAAATAAATAGGGATAGTATATGTGAAATTTGAACTAGATCTAGGAAAAAGGTTGGGAAAAAGCACCCCATATCCAGGCTTAGAGAAGTCCTGTGAGTTTCCTTAGTATTTTTTAACTTGGCATCTTTCAGAATTAAATGACAAATATTGTGTTTATTGTCTAATTACCTATCAGGGTGGTCTGTTTATTTCTTAAATTGAGCTGTTGCCCAGCACATCAATTTGTTTGTTGTGTATTTCGTAGGAAAGATTAATTTTCTGCCAAAAAGTATCCTTTTGACATATAAAAAGGAGAGCATCAAGATCAAGGCTTTACATTCTGGAAGTCTTTGTCAATTCATGGACTGGGGACCTGTGAAGTGGATAAAAATAGCCTCAGATATAGGTTGAAATATGTAACTTGGAGGATTTAGTTGTTGAAAGGTATGATTTGATCAGAATTTTAATTGGGCTTTTAGATAATTGTCTGGGCCAGGAACTGTGATCAGATGTTCCTCTGGGTACACCTGGCTCTTGTGTCTGCCTGCACCAAGCAAAGTGAAGAGCTTTATATCCCAAGTTCATAACTTTTCATACCAGTAAAGTGTCAAAATTCCAGACAAGCACAGCTAAGCCTAACCTGCTTTTGCTGTCCCTGGGTCATGGGAGGATCCCTTTCTCTGGGGACAGTGGAGTGCTGCACACATGTGGCATCTTCTATCTGCCACTCAGCACTCAGGTTTCATGGACAAAATTAATAATTGATTTACGTCAGGTAAAAGCTTGGAATGAATGTGTGGCAGAGACAGCCAGGGAAGTGGTGTGAAACAAGGAGTGGAGGAGATTGAAGGTACATCCTCTTAGATAAAGATAAACCTCAAATAAACAAGCTCCATAGATGTGATCTCTCCCTGCAAGGAGATATAAAATCAGATCTGAAATGCTCACATCATCAAAATAATTTGAAGAACATCAATAACTAATAACTCCAAACAATCATCTGTGATGCCACTTCCCATTTCATATCTCAGTTTCTGGAAGTATTAGTAAGCCTAATTAATTTATTGGTGCCCCAGGCCTCTTTGGGAGCCCTCCACCAGTCAGATCACCACAACATCCCATAAGGAATAATTTTATTTTTCCAGGTTGTTGTTTGTGGAGGGTAAAAAACAATAGGTGGAACAGTTCCCTGGAAGTGCCCAAGGCCAGGCTGGGGTAGTGGAAGGTGTCCCTGCCGTGGCAGGAGCTGGAATGAAATGGGTTTTAAGGTCCCTTCCAGCCCAAACTAGTTTCTGCCAGCCTCACTCGTTCTCCTGACTCCTAAACAGTAGAGGGCGATCTTGTATTAAAAAATTTAGGTTTTACCTCCATCGAAGCCTTTCCCTTACGAATTGTCAGAGGAATGAAGGTTTTTATCTCTAGAAACATACGGGATCAGATGTCTGTATTATTCTGTGTAAATGTTATCTCTGTTAGAGATACTCGCAGTAACTATCAGGTTTTACACCACACAGCAACGTTGCTCTATAGTAAGTGAGAATTACTGAAGTAAAACCATTATGATACTAATGGAGCAAATAATAGAACTCACTGTGCAAGAACACTGTAAAGTCTGGTGTGTTGAGTAATATTCAAGGAGTCTTTTGAAGTTATTTTTTTTCGGTTTAAGAAAGCAGTTATCTGGTTTAGTATGTTACACGAAGGTTGAGGAAACAACATGCTAAAGTATTTTGTGTTTATTTCAGTCTGGGAAGTGTCCGTCCTTCACCTGTGCACACGGAGATGCCTGCCTGCAAATGGAGGTGCTGAACCAATCTCCGGTGCTCAGGTGGGGAGCCTTATTTACACAGACTGTTCTTATGAGTACGGACAGTCTGCCTGAGCTAAAGCTCAAAGATCATTCATTGCCTCAGTTACTCAAATACAAAAGGTATGAAGCACGTGACTGGGTAGAGAATTGATATTACATTCTTTGGTGGTAGCGGCTTTAAACTGTTTTTTAACACTTTTATTTTGTGTAACAGTTTGTATCCCTGACATGTCACCTGGAGTGCTAAAGCATTTGGTCCCTGTGAAGGAGAATCACTGAACTATTGCAGATGGCCTGGCTTGATAAACTTCTTTGTCAATTAATCTGTTGCAAATGCCCTCGGTCTTCTGAATGGGTTTTCCTCTCGCAGCCCTGTGATAGTTCCCTATGGCTCCAGGATGGAACAATCCTGGGCAGTAAAGAGATTGAGATAATGACAGTCCATGGTGACAGCAGGGCTGGCAGAGCCAGCCTGGGGGAAGAAAGACACATACTTGCCAATAGAAATACCTCCATCCTTTGGGAATTGTAGCTTGGGAATCAAAGCTGACCTCATAGACAAGAATGATGGAGAACAAGCTTTTGATTTATGACTGGATGAAGCTCAAAGTCTGCCCTTCTGATCCTTCTTTACAACACACCTTTTGTATTTTATATGAGCTCTTTCACTTTATTCTCAGAATGTTATCTCCTGGGGTATCGTTTTTAAGTCTTTCAATGTTGTAATAGTTCACTCATCTCCTTCATAGTAGTTAGTTTTTGTTTTTAATGAAGTTAAAATCCCCTTTTAGAATCACAAGTAAACTGTCGTTTATATTTAACATGACTGATCAGCTGCTTTGCTTCTTAAATTTTTTAAAATTATTTTCATGAAAGCCAAATCCATATTTACCTTCTAGACCACAGCTAGGGAATTCCATTTGCACTCACTAGTGCTTTGGTTGCCTCAAATACCTATCTGTGCTTGAGTATGAAAAAAACCCCTGCATTTTTGGTTCTGGAATTTATGGGTCAGATCCTTGGTAAATGTTGAGCTCTGCTGACTTTAATGAAGTTGTGCTGCTTTTCACCACCCATCTCTAATTAAGGCATCCACTACAGTGATTGTAACTCTACGTCCCTCTCCTGGGAATTCTGCTCTCTGCTACCTGCTCACTTTGCCTTAGAGGCTTTAAGCAAAATTTTGAATTCTCTGAATGTTTTAAAAATATGAATCTGGGTCTAAATCTTCTGAGCTTGCTCTTGTGCAAGTCATCCAT